TTCTTGCCATTTTTTGTTTATGAATTCTTTAATTTTCCCTTTAACCTCATTTTTGAAAGTGTGTGTGTGTGTGTGATAATATTTATTTTTTTAGTATGGATTACTAATAAACATGTTATCATGCAAACAACATGTATTTACAATCCATGTCTGAAATGCCACATATAGAAATTTGTGTTTAATTTTACTTCAAATGTTTTCATTAGCCTTTTAATATTTAATGATATAATGTCTGGTGCAAACAAGTATCCTTATAAAAACACAGTTTCCTGTCAGGACATTATGGGAGAAGAGGTTTGTCAGAGGGAAGTCTAGTGGACAAATCTGTCCTTTATGCACGAAAAGAAAGAGAATTAAGCTGACGCATTGACGGGCTGAAGAAAAAACTGAGGAGAGGTGTTGATTTATGAGAACTGGTGACCTCAAAGATGTGAATGAGTGAGACGAAGAAGAGGATTGAATTAATCTTTCATTAAGAGAGAGCTATAAGGTGATTTAACATCCTTTTGTGACACTGATCAGCTGTGCCAATTATCGTAAAGAGGGCAGAGCCATTCCCTTTAATTCTGGTGATTCATGCCTATTTCAATGGAATATAAAGAGGAGACTTTTAATTAGAGTCTGTAGGATATACCCTTTACCAAGTATAAAACCTTTTATAGTGTATTAAATTGGCCCAGACCTTCTGTGACTTGGCATGTCCTTTGGCACGTAAATTAAAGGGCCTCCCACCATTAGATGGCGCTCACAAAACATACATTTCAGATTCACTGTTATTTCAGATGTGGCTAACAAATCTCAGTCCATCAGAAAAGAAAAATAAATAAATAATTTGCAGCGTTTTATCCATCTTTAAAAAGCTTGTATGTCTGGTTATCCATCTTTCAAAGCATGTTTTTGATGCCTATTTCTATATTTAGAAGTCCTCTCACAAGTATCTTGTCTGTTCCTGATTATTCTGTCTCTTTCAAGCTTTAACCATATATTCATCAATATCATTCTCCTTTATATTCACTCTTTAATGTATTGGGTATCTTGATATCTCAAAGAGAGGAACATGCAGACTTTTGAAACCAGAGGAAAGATGTGTAGCAGTGCAAGTGCTTATGAATGTGTAAGTGCTGAAGGCTCACAGGAATCCAGACTGAGTCATGTCTTATTCCCACTCTTTCCCTCAACTTTCTTGTTTCTTTCAAATGAATAAAAGACTTAAAAGAGTGTAAAGCAACAATTTTCCTCTTGCCTTTCCATGTTCTATAGTCAGCAAGCTTTGTGAAGTGTGTGAAGTCTCTACAGCCCACGTCAATGGGCACACAGTGTACTTTCCATTCTTTGCATGCCCGTGGCTCTCAAAACCAGTTCTGTGTAGAATCTCTTAATTGGCCTCTTAATTCTGGTTTTTCCAGGTCAAAGATTTATAGTACAAGAAACTCCACATTAAATAAATAATTTGTTTTGTTTTGTTTTCGCCATGTTAAATAAAGAGGAAGGTCTAACAAGGGGAAAAAAATTAAAAATGAATAATAACATTGGTGGTAACATTGGAGAATATTAAAAAATGTGTTCAAAAAACAAGTTGTGGAAAAGGTCTCAAGGTCAAAGTTTAGAGGAAGATGAAGCTGTGCACATGGAGAGTTTGCAGTCAGATTTAAACATTATTAATAACAGACTATTTAAAATATTTAAAATAATTTAATGGCATTATGCAGTAATTCTAGTCAATGGTTAAAAAACATTAACATTAATTGATAATATAAAAGACTTAAAAATAACTGGTGGTTTCAGGTCACATTCAGGACAATATTAACCCCCCCCCCCCCCCTAATGTGTTAGATGGCTGCATCCAAAAATTTGTATTTATTTTAAATAGGTAATTACTTCACAACTGCTAAAACAAAATGTAGTATGTAAGTATGTATAAAGCATTAATATGTGTAGTATGAATGAAATTTGGACACACATTTGCCATGTTGTCATTATCACGTGACCTACCAGCATCAGCATCACTTCACTGCTATTCACAAATCCTCTCCCATGGCTTCATGGGATATATGCATACTTCAAAAATTGGCCGGAAGAATTAGGTCATCTTTGCATTCTCTTTCATGCGTACTGTGAATTCGGACATACTTCTTTTGTCACATACTGATTTTGCCTACTATATAGGCAAGTAGGGAAGTATGCCATTTTGAATGCAGCCAGTGAGTTTGTAATCAAATTTAAACAATTCATAACTGAGTATTCAGCTAAATTTGAGTGTTTATTGGTACAATGCATTCATTTTAGTCAATGCTAGACGTCATATTAGAAACTGAATTGATTTATGAGAAGATGTCACTGGTGTTACAACCCTTGTTTTATTCATAAAAAAATAACCGTTTATGATTTGTAATAATGTCAAGATGTTAATAAATATGTATCCACTTTTATGGGAGGGAACTGAATTCCACTGATGCCAACATATTTTCAGAGGGACATTATTAGCTCAGGGAGTGTTGTGTAGAAGTAGAGGAGAACTTTTTGCTTGTTTCTCAATAACTTCAACACCAGACCATTGCCCTGAAGTTGATATGAAGCTCCTCAAGCCTGTCCTTAGCAGTCATTCCTTCATTTAGGGCTGTTTGTGAAATGCTGCTCTAAGCCCAGAGTTATTAGAGTCACTTCATATGGAATCCGATTAGCATCTTTGAGAGTGCCTAATTATTTCTCAAGTGCTATTGTCTGTCTACATCCCTCCCGTTTTGAAACAAAATGAATTAATTGAACACAAAGTGAAGGCAAGGTCAGGATGTCTTTGAAGGTGGTGTGTGTGTGCCGTGAGGACTGATTCCTCTTTGTTCAGTCGGAAAGACAGAATAAATGTTTTATAATTAGCTGAGCCTGCGCTGTCCAGAGTTTTCTAAGCAGAGGACAGACTGACAGAATGGGAGCAACCTGAAGACAGAGTCACTGTAAGCATTAGTCTATCAACCTTTCTTTCTCATCTGTAACCATCATTCTTGATGAAAGCGTGAGCAAAGGTGAGCCTTCAAGTTCCAGATCTGTCTAAGAGGAACAGCAAATTTAGATTCTCACATTAGTCGCCTTTCATATCTCACCATATTTTTTCCACTTCCCCTCTCTTATTAGGCATTAATGGGTTTTCAATGGAGTTCAATATCCTCAACCCCTTCTTTGACTCATCAGGCTCCACTGCTCATAACCAGGAGAATTAATTACAATTGATTAAACTCATCTTTGTGGGAACCCATTACACATCTAAAAATAATTCACCATTTCCTTTTGTTCTTTAATCAGGCGGGGAAGTTTTCAACATCCCGAAGGAAATTGCCTGACAAAACAGGGATGTGTTTTGTGATTGGGTGGTCAGAAGACAGTGGGTGACAGTGGGTTATTAATATAACCAGTATAACCAGCCTATGTTATACTGGTTATATTAAAATGAACAATATACAGTGGTGGCCAAAATAATTAGAACACTAGTATTTTTACCAGTGAGTTATTTCTATCTTTTGCTGTAGTGTGAAAGTAGGAAATTTTAGTTTACATTTCCAAACATACATTTTGTCATCCTTTGCGTTTGCGTTGCGTTCAACCAGGAAATTTCCTGTCAGCGCGTTATTTGAGCGGATTTTGCTTTTCCAGTGAGCATGCGGTACACGAGCACATTCAGAGAGCAGAATATTGAGCTGAGCGTCAAACCGCGCAGTGACGAGGAGAGTGAAGCCTGCGCGCTGAACACTGCCGGGCGGAGCGGGGCGCGCCATGTACTGTATATTATTATATATGTATATTTTCGGCTGTTTTTCTCTTTCGGCCGAAAACCGAAAATACCATTTTCGGCCGATAATTTTCGGTGGCCGAAAATTCGGTGCATTCCTAACTGAAGCCTTTTCAATAACGCAGTGTAACTGCACGGCCGTTGGTTCATGCAGTGAATTAAAAATGAACCAATGGCACGGCAGCAGAGCTGCACGAGCCTATGGCAACGAAGCCCGCCAGAATGGGCGGGGCCATGTGGCTATATTAGCGGGCATTTCGCCAAAGGATCCTCAGATTTCTTCTCCTTCAGCCACAACTGCAAGATCTTCACTCTATGAGACTCGAAGCCTTTGCCGTGAACAAGCCTCGCAGCGGATCTAGACCCCTTCCTGCTTGGCTGACTGATTTTCTCGGCGTTGTTACAAATGCCGTGCCGTTATTGTCGCTCGTGCTGACAAACACGGTGCCTCCCATGCTGAAATTGCACGGAACGTCCTCATAGCGAGGCTATGAGTCTTGCCTCTCTATGCTCGCGGTTAGCTTTCTTTTCAGAAAGCGACTCCCTCCCTCACGCCCTCCCACTTCCTTCCTCCCAGGAACCTGTGAGGAAAAAGCAGCGGGGCAGAGGAACTCGGCGCCCCAGGGTGGTTTGTGCATTCCAGGCTGAACCAGGGAGCAGACTTGCTATCTCGGAGCAATGTCCCCTCGGACGAGTGGATGCTCCACCCACAAACGGTTTACAGAATCTGGGAGAAGCTCGACCTCTTTGCCTCAGAAGACAACTCTCATTGCCCAACTTATTTTTCGAAGGACAAGGATGCGTTGGCCCACGACTGGTCCAACCTCCCCCTTTATGCTTTTCCCCCAATCGCCCTGATCCCACAGGTAATCAGACGAATCAGGGAATGGATGCACAGGGTTCTGTTAGTGGCCCCACTCTGGAGGAACCAACACTGGTT